GAGAGAGAGAGAGAGAGATAAAACAGAAAGAAGGAAAAGGAATACAGCTTTGGAGACATACAGGACATTACTAGAAATGCCAATGTTGCTGACAATCACTGGTGTTCTTGGAGCAGCCTGTATCAGTAGAGAATGGGTGGTCAGGTACATACGCCAGTGTTTCCAGTGTGGCCTGCTGACTCACTAATTAGTAAGTTGAAGTTCCAGGTAAGTTACAATGTTTGGGGCTGGTCTTTGTTTGGGTGAAGAATGATTACAGGGTAGCTGGTCCAAGTTGCCCTGTTTGTCCCTGTCACTAGCTGAGGGGCATTGTTTATACCAAAGTGTGATTGACAAAAGTAAAGAAGACATCCAAGGGTGTGAACACGTGCTTCCCATGGGAAGTATATGCCATCCCTGCTGTTTGATGTTTTAGATAGACCTAGCAATGCTAAAAGGAATGGCTATTAAATTGTAATGGATATCGTTGGGATGAGAGAACGTGAGGTTCTTGCAGCGATTTGGGAGAGCAGCATCAAGGCATGTTCAACGGATAGGGGAGGCTTCAGGACAACTCTGAGAGAAAAAAACCAGTATCATTAATGCCCTTCTTCCTCTTTGTCTCAAAATCAAAGGTGTTGCTTATGTTCACGACAGTTTCTGGTCTGCTTCTGCCACAGCAAAACCAAGGCGTCCACAGCCTCATCTAGGTTCCATTACTCATTATTCACATCAAGCGTCTTTGTCCAGAGGCTCAGTCACAAGAAGGACAAGTACTTTGCAATAAAGCCTACAGAAATTCTGGAGGACCCCTCTTGGGTGCATACAACCTCCGGTGGGAGGACTCAGTGAGCAGAACACTCAGCCAAGTGTTAATTATGCTTATTATCTCGGACAATGTCAATATAGTAAGTATGACTACAGACTACAGGGTGAATCCGGTTGGCCTGGTGTTGCCATTAAAGGAATAATGAACATCATGCTCCATGATAGTCAGGGCAGAACCCCAAACTTCCAATTAAAAAAATAATAATCCTCATCCTCTTTCATCCAGGACTTTACCCAGGAGCAGCAGAAAGAGGATTTCATTCTGGAGAGGGCTTCACTAGGGGCCAAACTGCTGTACCGAGAAATGTGACCTCGGAGGAGGTGAGGGAGAGATTCGGAAACTTTCTTTAAATTAAGTGTTTTTTTGAAGTAGTTGTAGGTGCATAGGTCGTCAGCAGGAACAAACTGAAGAGATCTGTGGTTCTATTACCCACTTCAGCTTTACTGTGCTGCACCACGTTGTTTCCTAGCAACATCCTAGCACAGCCAAGAGACAGAATGCTTCCATCACCACAAAACTTCATACGATGCCATTTTATAACCACACCCACTTCCTTCCCACCCCACGCCTTCCTTAAACCTGAACAACCATTTGTCTGCTCTCTTTCTCAATTTTGCTACTGAAAAAAAAATGTTACTTAAATGTAATCATGAAGCATGCATCAAACATTAAACATGAAGAGCTTTCTGGTACGTGCCTCTTATCAAAATTTAAAAGTTCCTCTGTTTTCCCACTTCTCTGGAATTTTTATGGTGCTGTATTCTGCTAAGTACTTGTCTACACACATGGATATTTTATGACCTATAGCAGGGTTATGCTGATTGGTTTTCGGGTACAGAACAGGACTTGCATCACTGGAAAAACCCCACTTTGTTCTGTGTGATTCTCTTTACCTATTGCTGCATTATATTTGCTGCTGTTTTGTTAAAGGAGTTTGGGCATTTTTACCTCATCATAGACTGGTAAGAGCAAACAGCAGGATGCTCACTGGACTTTGCTGATGTGTGAGCATCAGTAGGCTACGGTTTTTGCTAATGTTTGGCTGGAGTGATGTGGTTATAAAATGAAGTATAAAAATATTTTTTTCTAGACTTCCCCTTCTCTCACTCATCCTTGGTTACTGAAGGAGCAAACAGTAAGTTTACTAGGCCCCCATATATATATATATACCTGTTTGCATTTTTAGTTACTTTCTCTGTAGCCAGCGTTTCTTCCGCCATGACAAAATAAACTATTTAAACCAGGAAACATTTACTTGGCTCATAGTTTCAGAGATTTCAGCCCATGGGTGTTTGACTCAGTCACTTTTGGGCCTGTGATGAGGCAGAATATCACGACTGAAACACATGATAAAGGAAGTCTGTTTGTGTCTAGTAAGGAGAGAGAGAGAGAGAGAGAGAGAGAGAGAGAGAGAGAGAGAGAGAGAGAGAGAGAGAGAGTAGAGAGGGGGGGCACGGAGTGCTTGAAGATCGTATTCCCCTAGTGGCCTGACTTCTTACTATCAGGTCTTTCCTGCAATGGTTTCACTTTCTCAGGCTTCAATATGTCCTTTGGGGGACATTTTAGATTCAGATGAAAGAAAGGGCATCGCAGCTTCAAGTCTGAGATGATGGATCAAAAGTAAAACTTACAGCCTCACCATGATGTGTTCTCTGGAATGCTGAGGTTTCCAGTGAGGCTACCTTCTACTGCCAGCCCTTCGGAGTCTCCATGCTAGCCTACGTATAAGTCCAAGAGTGTTGGTTATGCACAGCTGTGGGTAAACTAAAATCTACATTCCTGTAAACAGGAGCCTGTCCTGGTAGTCAATAAATCTGATGCCCCGAGATGGTAATTTATGAAAATCTAATTCATCCGTGATTGCAAAGCTGCTTTCCACCATAGAATGACTGGTTACGAATGATTTAGAAAGCTATCATAAGACACAAATGACGTCATACAGCCACATTCAAGGACTGTTCCTTCGTGGGTTTTCTTTGCTGTTACAGGGATGAAGTGCTGCGAATCTTCTAGAGAGTTTGCTCCCCCCAATGCCATTCCTGGAACCCACATATGAAAATGAAGTCAGCAGTTGCCTGAATGTGCAATCTTTTGTTTTGTTTTGAGACAGGGTTTTTCAGTGGAGCTTTGTTGCCTATCCTGGAACTAGTTCTTATAGACCAGGCTGGCCTCAAACTCACAGAGATCCACCTGCCTCTAACTCCCAGGTGCTGGGATTAAAGGCCTGCACCACCACCGCCAGGCCTGAATCTGCATTCTTGTGAGACCCAAAGTAGATGATCCAGTCAAGCCTGGACTTGTGTCTTCCAGAACTGTGCCGTAATATGTGTGTACTGCCTCAAGTACCGACTTTATGGTGATCTGTTACATAACAGTAGATAGTGAACACAGGAACACCCACCGAATATAATCGTTGTAGCAAAAACTTTAGACACAGTAAAACGAGGCATTCACAAGAGATCCTCATCCTCACATTGATGACACATGACACACACGTTTACATACTCTAGTGAAGTAATGCAGTATACATTGTCTAGAGACGTCTGTGGCGTGCTGGGATAAGGTGTGAGTTTTGGTCTTATCTACTCTATAAGGTGGGTGCGGGAATTCAGAACAGTGCAGGTAAAAGCGGCCTGGCACAGGGCCTGTTGTTCAGCCCATTGAATGGAGTCCTTGACTTCTTATTTCAGAGATCAAGTTTCTGTCAACATCCACATTCCAGTGGCTGCTGATTGCAGATCTCTTCTGTTCCCCACCCCTTTCCCCGTGATCCTACAACTGCTGCCACAGAATCAAAACGTCCTTGTAATTATACAGTTCTCACAGGCCAAGTAAGAGTTCTCTCTTCGCAGGTACTAACCACCTCAACCGTAAATGAACCCCAAGCACTCCTTCTAGCACCCACCCAGGATTTTTCCACAGAAACGAACACATTTCTCATGAGTTCGGGTTTTCGTAAAAAGTTCACAATTCCGTCACTAGAATACTGTCCACCAAACAGTGTACTACTGACATCTATTTTTCTCTCCCCTGAGAAAGTGTAGATGACGAAAGCCTCGAGGAGGGCCTGGACCGCCCTATTGGAGGCGTGGGCAGCGCGCATCTCCAACCCCTTCCAGTTGGAAATGCCGGTGGCTTAAGCTACCGATGGCTGGCCTTGCTTGTCGCCCAAAACGACAGCGATCACCTAGTTCAAACGTAGCTACTTACACGGCCTGCTGTCAAGGGGGTGAGGACAGAGGCAAATTCCCAGTTCTAGCGACCTCTCCTCTGCCCCTCCCCAGACCCCCGCTGCCACGCAGTGCCACATCAGCGACTGCACAGCGCGCCCAGCTAGGTTCCTTTCTAGGATGCGAGTGGCCCAGTGGGCGGAGGCAGACAAGAGCCCGCAGGAGTGGCGGGCTGCTCCACCAATCGGAGACCAGGGAGGAGACTTGACAGCCAATCGCAGCCCAAGCCAGTGCCCCGCCAGGAAAATAGATGAAGCGCATCTGGACAGCTGTGCTGAGAAAGTTTGTGGGCCCCTTCCCGGCCTGCCATCCGCAAGGCACGTCTCCCACGTCGCCTCCTGCTAGCCACTTGCTACTTATTTATTTTTTCCCAAGAAGCAATCGGCAATCCAAGCTTGAACCTTTTTATTCCGGTCACCCTCACTCCCCATGCTAGGCGAGGCCACATCACATTCAACACTGTCTAACTTTAATGGGGCTTTGCGATCCAAAGAATAGAAACAGCAACAAAAACCCAGCCGCCGTCTGATCCTAACTGTCACAGTGGGGAAAGTAGGGTGCTGAGAGAACGAACCAAGCTGGGTAAGTTCTGAAGACTCGGGGACATCATCCTTGTCCTGCTGAGATCTCTAGCCTGTGCTTTTGCCCTTCTTCCGGACCTCTTTTGGTAAGGGGAGAAAACTGTCTCACGCGGGGAGAAACTGCGGGAGCATCGGGCTCCTTTCTTTGTTTTGTGGACGTTTTTGTTTGTTTGCTATTTAACATTTATGAGGGTGGTGCTAGTATGAGACTTGGAAACCGAAGTTTGACTGGCGTTTTGTGGTAAACCTTTCTTCATCCCAAAGGTAAGTTCTTCCTTCTCCTCCCGTTCCTGTACAACACTGTGTACATTTTCGAATGATAACTATCCTCCCTGACTATTTTGATGAAAGACAGAGAAAACTCTGATGTATTCAGAATTAGTATAACTTTTGACAAATTATTTAAAACTTGAATCATATAAAGGACTTACTGGATCCTTTCATTTAAGTTGGAATGTAGTTGAAATTGCAAATGTCATTTTGCAAAGAGGGAAACCTAAATTCCTTTATGGTTATTAACAAAGTAATTAAACATGTGATGGACCACTTTGTGTGTCTGTGATCTTATAATTACTTAACCTGCAATTCTATCAAAATAATATCCACAGTGGTTGTTACACATGCATACTTACAGATGACTCTAGTTTATATGACAGGTTTTAGAAGTGAGCTGCTGGAAAATGCTGAGCTATGAGTGGCCCAAAGCTCTTTCCTTCTGCCTTCTATGATTTCCTCCATCCCAAGGATGTTTTGAACTTCAACATTATGTTGCATGCTGCTTACTCTTGGGGGAGATCTGACTCAAATCAATCTTTAATTTCTGGCTCTTAAAGCTGTGGGCAAGGATTTGATACAAAAATTGTTACTTGTAGTGTATGTTTTGGTTCACGAAAGAAGAACAATTAAAGTAGACTTAGGGATGCAGGGTTAGAAGGACATTGTTATAAACAGGCAGTAAGAGATAATCAAAATCAGTTCACAGCTTCACAGCATGATCTAGGATGAAACAGCCCACCTGGTCCCCAGAGTAATCCTTCGTAATGTGTTAATAATAAACAGTCATTGCATACTGATGGTGTCTAGAGTACTGAGTTAAAATATGTTAACTGTTAGGCCAGCCTGGCATATCGTGTGTCTTCGCTGTGTTTTCATTCTTTATTACCCTCCTTGCCAGCATCTGTACATGGATTTCTTCTGTGCCATTCGGCTTCTTGAGAAACTAGGGCTTATCCACTTCTGACCACTTGCTAGTCAGGCTCAACATGAGTCTGTAAAAGAGAAAGCATCATGAATGGACAGCAAAAATGAACTGGTGGAGGCCATAGATGTAGAAGGGTCTGGAGAGCCGATGGTAGAAAAGGGCATCAGAATGCAGGTTGGTTTCACGGAACGGCTGTTATTACTAGGAAGGGATTTTGACAGTTTGCTTTAGGGGTGGTAGTTCTAAGAGTCACAGAGCTGTGACAGCATCTAGGAGCAAAGGGAGAAGCATGGTGGCTGGGAAGTGTGGAGCCATCCTGGGGGCATTGGGCGGGTGTGGGGTGGTGCTGGCGTAAGCTTTCTGTTGACAGGCCAAGCGCCATGAGAGGGGCTGGGTTGTCAGGCACTGAAGCAGAGTTTGTGAAGTAGATCGGTATGGTAAGCTGAGCTGACACCAGTAGCCAAGTGGAGGGTTTGTGAAATGGTTCATTTCTGGGGTCTCGACCGCTTGTCCAACATGCCCTCCTCCTGCAGTGGGGTGGGCAGGATTGGACGGTTCACCAGGACCTGGCAGTGTGAGCGTATGCAGTGATGTCTTCCAGCTTTGTTCTTGTGGTCTGGTACCCTGGGACATTACCCAGGCTAGTTTTCATTAACAAGGGCTACTTGGCAGTCTTTGACAGGAGTGTGTGTGATGGTTAGAACCCTATCCTGTTCTCATATAGATCCTGTGTATACAAAAGAGATCTTTAACATCCTGCCAATAAAATCATCTATTCCTGTGCTAATATTTAGAAGTTTAAAAATTACAATTACTGAGGTAGATATGCCCTATCATATGCATTAAAGTGAAGAGCCAGGTTTGAGTTCTTGTGCTTTGTCCCAATGGCACTGACAGAGAGCTGGGTTCTGGTGTGGTTGTTGACCTCAGCCAAGACAATGAATCAGTATGACTCTGGGATATCACATATGAAGTGATCTTCTACCATAGGTGGTCATACACTCATCACCTACTGACTTGGGAATAGTCTGTTGTCCACAGGTGTTATTTTTGACCTCTTAACATTTGGCAAGTGCTCTGGTGAACAGTTCATGGCACCCTCACAGAAACCTTCTGAGGGCGACCACCCCACAGAACCTTGCTTTTGTTATTGAGGAGACAGGGGCACAGATGGACTGTATACTTGCCCACAATTCAGAGTGAACAAGCGGCAGTCATAGACTACGTCTAGCACAAAAACCTTCAAGCTTTAACCATTAGGCTACACAGTCTTGGGTATTTGAGAAACTAGCTCTTCCTCCTCCCCCTTTTTCTCTATTCCTCCTTCCCTGCATTATTCTTCTTGTTACCCACTTTGTCTTCCTTTCTTAGTTGCAGAGTTTTGCTATGCAGCTTATGCTAGCTTCAAACAGGTGCTCCTTCTGCCGAGGATCTCCCTAAGTCACAGGCTCTCATCATGCCAGGCTTCATTGTAGTGTGTGATTGTCAGAGTCAACCAGACAATGGAAAGAGGATCCCTGGAGTCAGGGATGAACTGAAAAAAATTTGCCTGCAGAGGCCATTCTGGCAACAGGATTCTGTCTGGGAGGGATGTTCCATACCTCTTGGTGACTGGAGACACTGTGTTGCATGTTAAGTGGATTTCATTGCAGCTGAACATCTGTTTTCTTGTCTTGTTTGAACAGAACTCACGGTGGCATCTGAATTTAAAGTAGACAATAAATGTCAGCCGGGTTGATCAGATGATTATCTGCATTAAAACATGACCTAGGAGACCCCTGATGTGTTTTTAAATCTTTAGATACAGAAGCACCTGTACTTTGGGGGCTTTACGTCGGCCCCCAGAGCTTCACAAGAGTGATTTACCATAATATATAGCAGCTGGGGAACTACATATGCTATTCTTTTCACCAGAATCTCCCTGCCATGTATATTTGTCAATGAGTGAGTTAGTAAACAGAATGAAACAAATACTGAAACTGAGTAAATATTAACATGGGTTTGAAGCAAGTTACTGGGGTCCTGATCTCTCTTCTCCCTCTTCTGCACCCTGACTTGACATAAATAGATGCTTTCCTCTAAATGCTGTTGCCATGTATACTGCATCATCAAAGGCACAAATCAACAGAGCTAATTGTTGTGAACCTAAAGCTACTGCCTCAGCTTCAGTTTTTACAGGTGTGTTAACAAGTGTGCGCTCTGTGTTGTGGTGGCATTTCACCTGTATTTTAATACATAAAGCTTGCCTGGGGATCAGAAAAGTAGAACAGTCACACTGGCCAGCCTTACAGACCAGGCAGCACTGACACACACCTTTAAACCCAGTGCCACACTAGCTTGCCATAGAATCTGGGCAGTAGTGGTGCACGCCCTTAATCCCAGAACTAGAGAGAATTATAAAATGGGAGGAGACAGCTCTCAGACACAGTCTCATTCTGAGGTTCCTGGAGGGGGGCAGGATCACCATTTTGGGACTGAGGTCAAGGCTAGTGACTGGCCGCTTTGCTTTTGAATCTTCAGGGTGAACCCCAGTATCTGTCTCTGAGTTTTTATGAATTATGCTTCGCTGGGAGTACAGGTGTGTGCTAGCACACCCAGCAGGGCAGTGGCAGAAAGCTGAGTGGCCAACACACAGCCTCCTCTTCACAGCTGGGTCTTCTCCTTGCAGACTTTCGCTAAGAGTCTCTCCTCAGCTTAGTTAAAGGTTATGAACAGGACTTCATTACACTCCTCTGACTTCGCTTCACCAAAGATCTCAACAATATATAATATACTCTTCTCAACCAGACAGTTGAGGCGCACAGAATTTTGTGAGTGATATCTTGTCACAGAGAACAAATGTTGCTGCTCAGATGAAAGAATGTCCTTTTTCTAAGGTCACACTGGCATCAGGAGAAGCTTTTCTAATGGGGCTTGTTTGCATCGCATCCTCTCTCCGGTTGTTGGCCTGTGAACCACCGGTGTAAAGTTGCCCTTGACTTTAGAGAGCCTGCTATGGACTTTGACATTCAGAAGTCTCAACAAAACCTTGGAAGATAATGAGGCCTTTCTCCCAAACCAGCCATCACCATTTTGGACCAGCCTGTTTCTCTAAGATGCCGTGGATGATCTAATATGGAAAAGGGGACAAAGGCAGATACTTGTTCTTGCTGTCCTGAGCAGAGAGGATTGTCCTCTGTGACTTTTTTTCCTTAAGAAAAAGAAAATTTAAAGGTGATGAGTTGGAACAAGGTGTCACTTTCCTTGACAAGGAACACGAAACAAGGTGACTTTGTCTGCACCTTTCCCCATTATATCTGAAATTCCACAGGTTCTAGAAAAAAATATTTACAATATTTAACTGTTCTCTTTAGCAGAGAGAAAATGGGCTTTTTAGAAAAATAATGTCTGTGAAAGTTAATCTCTGTGAAAGGAAATTATGCTACTTGATTAGTAAGAATTTTAAAGGTGTCTGGTTTCAGTCCCTTTTTATTGAATACCCTCTTTCCTTGTTACCTCCAAAAGATCCCGCCATTCTTTGGACTGTTCTACAGACTAGCATTGTGGTGTTAACACAGTTTCCCTGTTGAGTTTCCAACTGGGGCTCATAAAGTCCGTCAGTGGGCTGGTACCCTTTATTCTCAGCACTTAGAATCAGGCCAGTAGGCACTGTTGGGGGAAAGTTCCACCCAAGGTCCTAGCTAAACAAATAAATGAACAAAATTAAGTCAGACCTCTTCTAGGATGTTTCCAGAGGGCGCTTTTCATACTGCAGCCTCCTTCCCATGAGCACTCACTTGGTGAAGCCCTGATTTATGTTG